TAATCTGTATAATTCAAGCCACCAGTTTATATGATTTGGGCTGTACGTAAAAAATACTTGTGCACTCGATGTGCAACAAAGAAGTACTCAAAAAATACTCGTACATAGGACTCCTCATTTCGAAGTCTGAAATGATCCTATAATCGAATTAAACGAGAAAAAAATATTTAAACTGTATCTTTAGATCTTTCGTGATGAAAAATGGATGGTTCGCGAAGAAAAATTGAAATTATTTTTTTTATTCTACAAGCACTCTGACGTTTCTGCCGTAAATGAATACGCAGAATACTCCCTTCTTTGCTGTAAGACTGCTGAGTCGACACAGAGACCAGAAGGTCGACTACCGTTCGAGTGACATTTCCTCATCGACTCTCTTATTATCTTTTGTTACATCTTTGGAACAATTCATTAAATATTTCGGACCTATCTTTGCAATTACAAGCTGTCTGTTTGTAAATAAAACGAATGCTGACTTTGAATTGTAACGCCAACTTAAATAATTCGAATTGATCATTCGTTTCATGACTTTCAGAGAAACTATATAACGTAAGTATCCTTTGTAATATTCAAGGTTTAATAATTCAAGTTAAGTTTTCGCCCCCCCCCTAATCCCGGGTTCGATTCTGCACGCCCCCACCGTTCGTTTAGGACTAGCCTGGGACCCCCTCCAATTAATACGAAACATTCTGTCGAAATGGCCATAAATATATTACCCAAAAGGCAAAAAAAAACAATGTACTGACTAAGCATTCGTTGCTTTTAACGCCTAGAATTACTGCTGTCTCAGTTTGTACTCGAGATTAATTTTTTATTCTGTCGGTAACATGAAAATCATTTTCATGAAGACAGGTTGTTTTGACGGACATGTTTTGCAGGTTTAATGAGATACTAAGGGTTCTTACACAGTAAATAACACAATTTTTGAAATTCATTTCTGAAAACAATTTCATATTTGAAATAGAAAACAAATTTCAAACCAGAAATATTAAAAAATTTGAGGCGATATTGTCATCAACACACATCATAATTAGCCAAAATTAATTCATGATTAGCGAAATTTTACTTGTCTCTCTTTTGACCTTCATATATTTAAAGGTTGTTTAATTTTGCAAATATTGAATCACACTTAAATGATGAAGTGAAGCTTGACTACAGGATAGCTGGCGGAGGACCGGCGTTGGATAAATGGACTCCGCGATGGTTGCAGGCGGAGTATACGTAGCTGATCTACATATGACGTTCATTCGTTGTCGCTACTCAGCATTTCCCTGTGTGGCATTTATAGACCTATGGCTCGTAGACTTGGCGGTGGACGTATGCTGCCACGAAGGAGACTTCTACGTACAGCGCATGCGCAAGAGTTGCTATTGTGAATTCACTTCATAGGTACGATTGCTTCTTACGAAAGTACGTTGGCATAATCGATGAGTAATGATGTTTTCAGTTTCACCCCTTCAAGCCGCCTGCTAGTGACGTAGGCACAGTTTGCCGTACGTCACATGCTTTAGCGTAGCATGAGAAAATCGTACAGATGAACGGCAGCGGGAAGTTGGATATTTTTGGATGCGATGATCCTCATATACAGTGACTACTGAGCAACTTGGAACAGCAAAAAGTATTATTCCACACGGGAAATTAAGTCTGGGAAGATTGTGAGCGATTTTTTCCCTGATGATGGTTTTATAAATATTAGGATATTTGGTGTAACTTATCCACCGCAAAAATGACACAATTGAAAAATCACAGTTTTCAACTACGTTTATAATTGGTATTTCACATTTGACACTTACCTCCAGATGTCACTATTGCCGAATCAACGGACGATGCTTCAAAACGGGAGTGATACAATTGTGTTCGGGTGGCGGAATTTGAAACTAAGTTGCTACGCTATTTTTTAATAGGCTATGATTTCCTTATTTTCACCTTTTATTCAGTTATCTTTTTATTAAATGATTCTTTTATTTAGTTATTCAGTTCATTCCACAACGTGACTTCAATTATTTGTTTTATGTATGTTTTATTACATTATTAAGGAAACTCATAATGAAATTATTACATTCTATTTCGTTTGTGCTACAGTGTTCAGAAATGTCCAGTGAATAATATGATGTATATATTAAAAATTTTGGGAAATGCTCGAGCATAGGTGCACGACTATTTGTAATTGCTAAAATAAATAAATACCTTATTTGTGTGATAGAGACAAAAAAAATGTTTTGACTTGTGACCCATTAGAAATGTATTGAAACATAAATGCAAGATTTTTTACATTCTTCTGTTTTTCAATGGACTGGCGGTGCCAGTAACTAGTGTTCCCTCCTGCGAGGCCACTGGTCGGAGTGCGAGAACGCGTGACCGGGAGAGGAGGGTCGGGCGGGATAGCTGTCTGGGTTTGTCCGTTGTCGCGGTGGCCGTTGCCCGCCGCGCGCGTGGGTGGCTGCGTGGGAGGGGCGAGGAAGGGGGCGTCTCGGCTGAGTGCGAGACAGGCGTGGTTGAGATGAGAGACGATTTCGTGGAGCGGAGACGAGGAAATAGAGGCGAGGATGAAATACGGAGATGAGGCGGAAGGCGAGGCAGAGCGAAGGAGAGGCGTTAGAGGCGGGGGGCGAGGCGAAGGATTGGTTCGAGTTTTCTAAGACGAAACGCATGTGGAGTTTCCACCGTTGATGTGGAAAACGAGGCAGCGAAGTCGCTGGAAGCAAAGGAAGCGTTGGAGAGGAAAAGAGGGCTACAGCGCCAGCGACGGCTCGGCAGACGGGCGGCGACGACGGGCTCTGCTCGTGCGTGAGGCGCGTGCAGGCACGCCGCGTGACGTTGCGCCGGCAGCCCCTTCGCACCCCCACCCCGCCCGCCCCG